ACTTGATACAGCTGGTGATTGCTCAGCCCTCTGATTTGTCAACATCTCTCTGAAGGGCCTCTTGATAGTATGATTAGGCAATGTAACATAAACAGATATTGAATCATTATTGAAAATAAATCTTTATAAATAAAATTATGTTGTAGTTGTAGCAGTAGTAGTAGTAGTAGTGATAGTGTTGCTGTTACTGATGCCTATTGATACCTTGCAGTTGCTTGCTGGAAGGCAGGTTTTTTTTGAGGAATATTTCTATAACTTCTCATCATCTATGAATTACTGGAACCTGTTTGTATAGGAAGGCAGCTCAAAATTAATGGATGATCATAACCAGTATGTTTCTGACTGTTCGTGTTCATGAGGTGTTTGTAATACAGCTAGCATTGCAGCTGAGTGCCTGAATAGGCCTCTGTCACAGGAAGTTGACAGTATACTGTAGATGAGCACCTGAAAAAATTCATAGAATTAATCCCCTGTATAGTTGTACATGTGTGCACATGTGTATGGTTCACCATCAAGAGAAACCATCATTCCACCTTCTTCTTATCCTAGGACCTAGTTTTTACACCTTCCCCTATTCCCTCTATCTTTTTACAACTTGACTAGTCATTTGGTTTCACCTATGTTCAAGCTCCTATGCAGCATTTCGCAATAGCTTTAGCTATAGTTAGAGACGTGTTTGATCTAATTTCTATTCTGTGGCCTTAAACATACCAAGTGTTACTGCCTGTTACAGCAGTGTTCACCCTACAGTACAATGAAACATGGTGAACATAAGGGACAGACATCAGCATTATGATTACATTGCACGAGCTCCTATTTTTAGTTGATCTATCTGGTTAGCAAATTTATTTGCAAATACATTAGGACTAAAATTTTTGTTTATGGGAAAAGAGATTATTCTGACAAACATATAATAAGAAGTCAGTACCATGAACTTACAGAATATTCTAAGTTGGAAGGGACCCACAAGGACCATTTAGTCCAACATTTAATGGTCTGTACTGGGATTGAATGCACAATGTTGGTGTTATTCCCACTGTGTGTGAGAACCCTGGGCTTGGTCTGGGGCCTCATGTGGTGGTAAAGTCTCTCCTCCAACCTGTGCTTCCAAAGAAAAACTCCACAGCCTCTTGTTGTTCTGTCTCAAGGCAGTTTCTTGTGAGTTATCTAAAAGATTGTCTTCTCTGGCTACTGCGGTTTGGTCAGCAGCCCAGGCAGAGGCACAAACACACCCTGACATCCTCTGTCAGCTGTCTTCTTCTTCTCTCCCCCCGCCCAGGGCTGCTGCTATCTTTTATATGATATATTACATATTACATGTATAGTTTTCCCCCAATACCTACTACCTATATTACAAGGTGCTTTTCTACTCTAAACTAATCCATAAGTGCCAGCATCACCAAGAACATGGAGGCAAGGAAGAAGAAGGAGGAAGAACAGGATCAGCCCACTTTCCTCCTTAGAACTTCTGACCCCCATGTACAAAGTAAAACCCCCCCTGTACAGGTGCTAAAACCCCCCTGTACAATGCTAAAAAAATTTCCCTTCTGTTTTGTAACTACTTTTACTATACTATCTAACCCTTTGTGACTGCTTGCTCCACCTTCAAAGTTGGTAACTCATTCCATGGCTCAAACTCAAAATCACAGCTGTTTGCAGCTGCCTGCCAGGGTCTAAAATGCTCCTGACCAAAGCCTGGAACCTCTAAAAATGTCTGAGAGACATTTTGAGTTCCAACAACTGTGCTCTGATCAACTGAGGTAAGCTCCTTATTTTGGCTTGCACAGACAACAAACCCATGCATATTTTATTCTGTGGCCACTGTGTGTAAAGCAAAAAACATTTTGCTTTTTTTTTTTACTTATCTTCTCCTGAACCTATAACTCTTGTGACAGGAAACACTGTTATAATTGGTCTGTTATTCTGTATGCTGTTGCCCACTTCTTCCTGCACCTCAGTGATGTTCCCTGGAACTGCCTTATCAGACACAAATTTTTAACTGTGGGAACCTTCAGGGCTTTAACATTTGTAAAGACACCTAGACAAGAGATACAGCAGGGATGGAGAAAATTGTGTTCATACAAACTTTTTGTTTAGGAGAAAGAAATCTGACCATAATAATTAAATCTTAGTGGTAAATGTTGTTCAAGACACTTGGTCTGGCACTTGAAATGGATTTCTGAGTGCCACTTTAAAGGAAAAGAGCAGTCGGAGGTGAAATGCCTCTGTCCATCTGGATCAGGAGCAAAGTTTTTTGTAATAAGGTAGTGTTTTCTGCTTATGTACCTAATCTAGCATAGTCACTTTTTTCCTCACAAGCTTTGGGAAATCTGTTAGGGTCTCTAGATGCTTCCTTTTTCAAGATCACTCCTTCCTAGTTTCTGTTGTTGGTTGAGTTTGTTGGTCTACATTTGCAATTTGCATTTGTTTTTCTCTACATTTTTCATGAAAGGTTTGGGATTTTTTTTCCCCCCTCTTCTCCTCTCCTATGCTGTTTTAATGTTTGTTTTCTTACTTCCTTTTCTGTGGTTTACTTAACTCTTGCCACTTCTCTTTTCTCCGTTCAGCATACCTTCCTAGGATGATTTCCTATTGGCTTGGCTAAACCACATGTCACTTCAGCCCTGGTTACTCCTTTTGACAATTTAATAAGACAAAAAGAGCTTAGCCCAGGGAGTGCTGTTTCAGAGTGCACAGAAATGCCTTTTCTGTCAGTATGTTCTGTCAGTGGTGGCTTCCACAAAGAATGTGAGAAAAATGTAATAGCTGCAGTCTGCACATACACAATAGCACTGAGCTTTGCTCAGTCACTTCTATTTCTCTTCAGGAAGATTTCATTCACAAGAGTAGAATTTTTGTTGTGTTAAAAGCCCAGCTTTCAATTTGGGAAGACACCCAAAGTAGTTTCCAGGCGATTGTTCTGCAGCCCATTATCCAGGCTTTATCAAAACTGGGAGCTGTTACAGATGCTTTGAAGAACCATGAAACTTTGATAAGGTACTATTCAGCATGGCAAACAGCTGTGTAAATCTGCAGGAAGAACTTAATGAGGGAGGCAATGTGAAATGCAAATGAGGTTTTCTGCACCAATTAAGTGCTCAGGAAGAAGCTGATATGATGTTTGTGACATTGCAAATATGTATCCTGATTTGCCGTTTCTAAAACCTCTGCATTTCTATCGATTTGTATAATCTTTCCCCATTTTTGTATAAGTGGATTTCAATCTTCTGTGTGTGACCATTCAAAAATTATTGTGAAGGCTTTCTCTTGAAGTTGTCTACTAAAGGCAGAGGAGGAGCAGGAATGTTCCTGTATCCTTTATGAATGAGAAATTGCCAGTACATATTACTATAACCTCTCTGCTGAACTAGAACTATTATATTTACATTTTTCAAATGCTGGCAAGTTGTCTTAGAAGATGTGCCAATATAAGGTGAAATACTACTTCTGGGAGGTTTTTCCAGTTTCCAGCTGAAGACCTTGGTCTGAAACCATTTCTTAGATTTGACCAATCATCATAATGCTTTTTTCAAAACCTTTCAAATCCCACTTTACAAACTATAGCTCCTCTGGTGTGGGTTTTTTTTTTTGTTTGTTTTTTTTTGTTTGTTTGTTTGTTTTCTGCTAGGAGAAACAAAATAATTTCTGTAGCTTTAAGAGAACAGTGTTGCAGAACAGTGTGTAAAAGAGATTGTGAGATTGTTCTTGCTCTTTTCCCCTTCTTTTCCCTTTTTGTTAACTTCATGTACTGAATGAGATAGTGATAGCCAACTTCAGTAGGTGAGCAAGGACTTGTGATCTCCCTAATCCTTGAGGGGTTTGGTGCTAGCAAGGAGGATGGCAAGATAGTAGTAGAAAATTCCACTATGTTTGCTTACTTGGGGATTAGCCAAACTTGCATGTCCTCAGAAAGCTGCAGTACTGATTGTACTATTGGGAACATAAAAGTGTTTATGTTCTTGGATGTGTCTGATGGATGTGTCATGTTTTCAGGAAGATAAAGGATTTTACGTGCCTATCTGCAGTGCTTTGCTAAAAAGAAAAATTTTGGTAATCAGATCCCATACAGTTAATTGCAGTACATTTTTTTTATAAACTACCAGGCAAGTCTGAAAGGAGTATATGTCTGAGCAAATTGTGATTCATCTAATAGTTTGAATTTTTTTCCATCAGCTAGGTTCACAGAGAGGAGACATTTCTGAGGAGGTCAATCTTTTGTGTTATTAACTGCATCATTCTTCCAGACTACAGTGGAGAAATCTTCAATGAGATGGTAGTGCCATAGACATGATTTTTCAAACATAGCATATCATACATACAGCATTTGGAAGCATCTGAGTTGATGCTGCAATGAGCTGCATGGTTTTGCAAGCTTAGCCTCCCTTTGTGCTAATGTGTTACGTAGACTTGAGGTCTGTGAGGAGACTGCTGTGCAATCAAATCGGAGAAGGCAGAGATGGCTTCTGTTCCAAGTTCTGCACCAACCTACTTTTTGTAACTGACTGGAGTTGACAGCTAGTTCCACTTTCTTCAGAGATGGGCTATTCAGTACTGTGGTGATTCAAAGTAGCTAAAAGTCTTTGCATTAAACTCAGAACTTGAAGAAAAAGATTGTATTATGGCTAATAATATACACAGTATTGTTACAGAAGTCTGAATCCTTTAAGGAAAATCTGTATATTATTTAAACACAATACCATAGTTAACCTTTCTCATGTTATTCACTATATGATGGAGTGCTGTATTATGTCCCCCCTTTCCCAATAATAAAGTTTTCAATTTGAGATAAAGATTTCCTATCCATAAAGAGGAAGTTTTATGCAGGCAAGAAGAATTTGTCTTCAAAATTTAGGTTGAGTTGTGCACAGATAGATCCTGTTGCATGTGTGCAGTTTTTTAACAGTGCCATGTAGAACTGTTGTCACAGATGTGCTCATGTGGTTTGCTTATGAATTTCAGATTTCTTTTTTTGTTAAATATGTTTTTTTTCCTTGTTTCAGTGTGCAAGGACCCACCCTACAAAGTTGAAGAATCTGGATATGCTGGTTTCATTTTACCAATTGAGGTTTACTTCAAAAACAAGGTATGGAATCTCATGTTTTTCATAAGAAAAAAAATCATGTTGAAATGAGGGTTTTTTAAAGTTTTGAACTTCAGTTTGTAAACTCGATAAAGAATTATATTTAAAGCTGTCTTTATAAAAGCTGTTCCTCAACCCAGTATTACTATAACATGTAGAAATGTGTAATTGTATTTCACAGGATCCCAGAATGAGTCAGATTGGAAGGGACCATAGTTCAACATCCCTGCTCGTGCAGGGTCATCCCAGAGCAGATGGCACAAGATTGTGTCCAGCAGATGGCACAAGACAGTTCTTGGATGTCCTTAAAGAGGGAGACTCTGTGACCTCTCTGGGGTCTGTTCCAGTGCTTGATCACTGCACGTTAAAGAGTCTCTTCCTCATGTTCAGGTGGAACTTCCTGTGCATCAGTTTGTGCCTGTTGACTTTTGTACTATTACTTGGTATGAGCAAAGACAGCCTGGATCCATCATCATCTCCCTTCAGATGCTTGTTAACAGTAAGGTCCCTCACAGTCATCTTTTCTCAAGGCTGAGCAGACCCAATTCTCTCAGCCTTTCCTTCTAAAAGAGGTTCCCTCATAATTTTTGTCACCATCCTCTGGACCAGCTCCTGCAGCTCTGTGTCTCCCTTGTCCTCAGGAGCCCAGAACTGGACACAGCACTCCAGAGGTGCCTCACCAGGGCTGAGCAGAGGCCCAGGATCACCTCCCCCAGCCTGCTGGCACTGCTCTTCCCAATGCACCCCAGGACACCATTGGCCTTCTCGGCCACCAGGACACACTGCTGGCTCACGGACAGCTTGCTGTCCACCAGGAACCCCAGGTCCTTCTCCTCGGAGCTGCTTTCCAGGAGATCAGCCCAGCCTGTGCCGGTGCCTGGGGCTCTTCCTCCCCAAGTGCAGGACCTGCATTTGCCTTTGCTGAATCTCAGCAGTTCTTCCCTGCCCATCTCTGCAGCTGTCGAGGCCCTTCTGAAGGGCTGCACGGCCCCCTGGGCTGTTGGCCGCTGCTCCCAGCTCTGCCAGCAGGGAACTTGCTGAGGAGGCACCTGCCCTCCATCCAAGTCACTGAGGGAGAAGTTAAACAATATTGCATCTAATATAAACACTTGGTGGACAGTATTTAGTAGATAATTCTGTGAAATTAAAATTGCCTTATTGAAAAGGAGAAGTGTGATACAATTATTGAGAAGAATTACTAGCCCTGCTAAGAAGTGGACAGGCTTTAACTAATGCTTAAAGAACCACTTTAACTTGAAAGGACACCAGTCTTGATTAAGGACACCAGTCTTGATTATGTTGATTACACAATGAACTCATTGTATAATATTTTATATTTTAGTATTACATTGTTCTATTTAGTACTACAGATCTTTATAATTGGTTCAGGTTTTGATCTTTCAAAACAGTCTTATTTTAGTCTTGCATTCTTTTGTCTGTTAAAAAATAGTATTTTAGACTGCATGTGAGCACTCATATTCAGCATTACCAGGCTCAAGCCAAACCCAGTACCATTCTACAAAACCTATGTTATTGTGATACCTTGCATTCTAAGTAACTGCTGCACTTATTGTGAGTCTCTCAAATAGAAAATACAGAGGTTTTCTTTAATTGTACATAATGGGGTCTGCATTACTAATAACTAGTACAGATAAAAAGAACTGGATTTATGTGAAATTAAAGAGCAAAATCTTGCAAAGTTTAATGTACACTACCTTAATATCCAAAGTTATTCAGGTTGCCTTTATATGTTATGTGCCTTGGAGCTGTTATGGTACATAGCACAAATCAAAGATACCCATGTGTTTATATTATATTATCAAGATGTAGTTTGAAATTATTATTTTAATCAAGTCAAAATTATATCTTTACTGTGTTGCATTTTTGGTAAAAGACTGAAAGGGAAAGAAATAGAAATGCATTGTAAAAGACTTTTTTCTGGAACCCTGATCACTTAAAATTTCTTTTGGGGTTAGCTATATGTGCCTTTGAGTGTGTAATCTAGTATTCTTTTGTCTTTCACAGAAAGTCCTGTTAAGGTATGAGATATTCTGTTCAGGCACTTAGGAAGTTGTAGGTTTTGAATAGGTAATTCTGACATGTTCCCTGTATCAGTCTATGAAGGAGAAGGTCTTGATTTATCATGTTTGATAAAAGATGAAATGAAACAGAGCTGCCTCAGTGAGATGATCAGACGTTTTGGTATGCTTTTTAGCCCTCTTTCTATTAGGGAAGCTGTTTTGATTCATTCAGAAAATCTAATGAAAAACAGCCCAGTCTCTTCAGCTCATCTATTGAATGGTCATCCCATGGACAAAATATAAGACAGTGAGTCAATCATTGAGCATCTCTACAGAAAGCTTCCTGCCGAATATTCTCTTTTTGTTTTCCACTAGACTTGTGGCTGTTTTTTCTGACTGTGGAGACTGCAAGTCTCTGGTGTTCCCCAGCAAAAGCTGTGGCTTATACTGAGATCAAGCAGGCAGCGGTGATTACAACTTGCCTTACCCTCAAGCAACATGTGGAATTAGAAAGTTTGCAAACATCCCTCATCCCTTCTTGGTGTCATGTAATATGACAAGCAGCAGCTGGACTGTGAGTCAGTCTGTCGCACAGCTGCAGCAGCATGTGCTTCCCTGGGGTGGGTGCAATACAAAGGAAGAGTGGCACAAAAATTGAGCTGGCAAATTACTACTTTCTCCTGGCTCAGCTGTGCTTTCCCTGCCTAAGACAGTTCACAGGTACTCCAATAAAGAAAAAGAAGATATAGACAGAAGGAGGAAGATGAGACATACTGTCATCATTTATTAAAGGTAGACAGCTGCTGAATTTCTGATTCAGAAAATACCCTCATGGATAAAGAAAGGAGGGGTACAGGAAACTACCTGGACCACAGAGGATCCTGTTCCCAGGACTAAACAGAATAGATGGAAAATTTAATAGGTATTTTACCATGATAGGAAAATATTCCAAGCCTTAAAGAGTTACAGAAATTACAACCAACCACTGCTCCTAAATTCAGCAACAGCAGGCTATGGTTGTTAGTCATTGAAACAAAGTCCTTAAAATGCTTTTAGGTCAAAGACTCATGGTCTGGAAAATGCAATTAGTATAGGATAAGGCTCATAAACTGCAGCACATTCTATCTCCCCCATTTTTGAAATAATGGCAGTGCAGTGGTACTGATGGTAATTTGTGTAGTAAGTCTACTTTTTATTCACTGGTTATGTTCATCTGACTTTCCACAAAATTGTTTGAAGACTATAGTTTATGAATTATTACAAATTGGCTTTTATGGCAAAGCTGCTGGTACCAATGTGTTGCCTATAGCAACATTGCAGTTTTCTAAGCAGATTAGGGAATAAATTGCTTGCATTTTTTTTCTGCATGCAATCATGTTAATATTTCTAATAACAAGAAGTATCATCCATGTTTGCCTTTGAAATTATTTCTATGAACTATGTCAAAGCTATGAAGATAGTTCATCTGAGGGAACTGCTTCCTTTTATCTTCAGAAACAGACAACTTGAGGTCTCTTTTTATTGTTTCTGCTCCTGAGTCTAGAGATGGGACAGATTAGGATGTCCCTTAACTGTGTTTGAAACCTCTGAGTTAACTTTCAAAATAGGTGAGGTATCTATGCTTTCTGTTCTTCCCATAGTTGGAATCCTACTCAAAATTCAGCATGGTTAATGTGAATTTCTAAAGCATCTGTCACTGAACAGAACATGTATTTTAATTTCATGCGGTGTTGGATATGTGCTAAGGTTTTGCTGTATCTCTTCCTTCCCTTCCCTCATGGTTCCCTTTTTTCTGAAACATTTTTTCAAGTTGACTTTTTATTTTTATTCTTTCCTAAGGCTTGATTTGGTGACTTCATTGCATATCAAGACCTTTGGAGGAAAGGCTGCATAATAGATTCTTAAAAAAGTACTTAGTACACATACAGTCTCTAGAAGGGACTGTGTACATGTCTATCAACAAATGGACTTAGTTTGTAATAGCTAGAAGATAGTGAAATCTGTTTAATGCAACCACTGTCCTTTTTCAGCTGAGGCTTTCTCAGGGCACTAGAGTGCTAGTGATTTCTCCTGAGATAAATTTGCCTTTTGTGTTTTTTCTCATTCTGTATTGGTACAGGGAACATTCAATTTAATTTTTTCACTGCAGTGGCAGAGAATTTTAATTGCTCGAAAGTTCTGTTGAAACACTTGAAATCTATCTGACCATACTTGTTCAAGACAATGAAGTTTCTTTAAGATATGAACAGACCCCATAAGTAGGAGAACAAACAAATGTAGTTGGCTGCCCCGGATTCATACTTCCCTCTTTCTATAACTTTTGAAGATATCAATTGTTTGGTTGCAGTGGAGAAATTTGTGTTACTTACTGCACTGTGCTCAGTACTCTCTAGGGCTCAGAAATGTTACTGTGTTTTTGACTGAGTTACCTTGTGTCAGCTGAATCATGATACTTGCCTATGTGCCTGTCTGTAGCCTTGGCCAAACATGACTTAACAGTGTCAAGTAAGCCTTGCCAGGATTTCATCAAATTCATGCATTTTACCTTGTGTTGTCATGGGCTGATAGGAGCTTCTCTGCTTCTCTGATTTACCGTAGCTCAACTGACACTTGGTAAAGTCCATGTCTGTCTGAGAACACAGAGAATGGTTTTAAGTTATTTAATATTAATTGACAGCCTTTGTTTTCAACTTAGTTAGTTTTGGTGCTAGATGTTTCTATCTGGTTATTTTCAACCCTCAGGAAGAACCTAAGAAAGTTCGATTTGACTATGACTTATTCCTGCACCTTGAAGGCCACCCACCTGTAAATCACCTCCGCTGTGAAAAGCTCACATTCAACAACCCGACAGAGGAATTCAGAAGAAAGCTGCTAAAGGCAGGAGGGGTGAGTCCTGCACCCATGTCAAAAGCCATCACAAAAAAGATGTTGCAACTTGTTGCTGGTGCATGATTAGTATAATGAGAAAAATTAACCTAACAGTGAAATTAAGTGAAGCGTTCTTGTGATTAACTTTATACACAAGTTCGGGATGTGTCTTTAAGAGGAATGGGTGAACAAATGAACATGTACATTCCTTAAATACATTGTAGTGTGATGGAAGTAATAAGAAAATAAAATGTCTTTCATTGAAAGAGGTTCTATAGTTCTATATTAAGCAAAATTAATTCTGTAGCTATAAGGTAGAACAAGTCAAAATTCTAACCATAAACAAGCCTACTTAAATCTATGTAATATGTTGCACAGTCTGAATCACAAAAATGTACTGACTTCTTTATGTGTTGACAGAATTAAGTGATGTGAAAAAGCCAAAAGGAAGTTTGCCTATTTAGAGGGATGAGGGGGGCCCGAAAGGCCAAACCTTTAGGTTTATGTTTTGTCTGTGAAACTGTTCTGCTACGTTTCACACAATGATAACGTAAGTCATTCCGTTATAGACAATCAGAGACTCAGCCACGAGGTCTGCTCAAGATTTGACCCTTCCTTGCTGGGGTGTGAAGCTCTCCCTGGGCTCTGCTCCACTGCTGGGCCGTCTTCATGGGCCCGAGCCTCTCATGTGTCTGGCTGGGCTGCTGCCTCTTGCCTCCTTCCACACACCCCTGTGTCTCCTCTGTTCCTTCTGATCAGCACCGTGTTGATGGGAGGGAATGGAGGAGCTCAAGCCCTTCTTGGATGTGCCTGAAGCCATCCCTCCTTGCAGCTGAGCCAGCCCTAGGTCTGTAGCTGCTTCTCGCTGCAGTCTCCAGCCCCACGGTCTCAGTTACCTTCTCTCACCTCCCAGATTTTGTTTCGAGTGGTTGTGTTAGAGATCCGAACTGTAGGGAGTATGTAGATAGGGTCTGACAAAACCCAAGCAGAGGATATAGTTCTCATCCTCCCCTGGCTCCCAGGGTTGTGACCACCTCACAAGAATTGACACTGATAGCCATTGTTACTGCCCAGGCACCTGTGTTGCTGCCTGGGCCCTGGCTCAGCTGATAGCTCTCCACGCCCAGGCCATCCTCCAGAGCTGTGTTACAGCCCTAGCCTCCTGGCTGCAGGGCTCTGCCTTGCTGGGGCAGTTCTTGGTATTTGGCATTTGTCCTCATTTTATTTCATGAGTCTGCTGTTAACCTATTCTTCCAGACTGCCTGGGTCCCTTCTGCAAGACTGACTTGCTGTGAAGTGTCAGATACTTCACTTCCCAGTTGACTGTTATTTGCAGACTGCATGAGTGTATTTTGCCTCCTTTACCAAGTCACTGATAGAGATGTTAAGAAAGCCTTCATGCTGTGAAATTTTAAGTGTTAATGCCAGTGCTTGTCTTTAATTTGAATCAGCTGTAACAAAAGTGGGTAACCTTTTTTGGTACTTTTAGATAATAGTGGGTTCTGGCCTGGAGATAAGAGGGAGCTAGTGTGAGAATCTTCAGGCTGCTGAAGAGAATCTTTGAAAACAAAGCAAAACTAAGTAGCATATATACTCTGAAAGACCCTGTTGGCCTCCTGATGAATGGAACTGCTACAACTATAGTTACATTGAAATAGAAGCATGTGCAGTGTTTTCTGTTTGCATTTATAAGGTGCAAGTGACTTTTTAGTGTGTTTGCAAATAAAACATTGAGATTGCATTCTGGAAAACTTTATGAACCATTGCTTTAATATTTGTTAACAACAGACTGGATAAGTTTTAACAAAAAGTGTAATAAATTTAAGTAATGCCAGCAGAGAATTTGGAATTGAGGACTAATGGTTAAAAAGGTTAAAATAGGAAGCTTCCTTTTTATTGCTAGTTTTGTGAACATTTTAATTTTAGGTTTCTTGAGTTAACAAAAGCAAGAATGTTGCCTAAGTGTGAACAACAAAATGTGGCATGTTTTGATCAAACTCTTTGCCTGAATATAGGGAATAACCAGTATGGTCATTCTTATAATGCATTGCTTCATTGCTCTTTTGTCTTCTGCATGTTTCACACTGCATGGCTTTTTTCTTTTTTCCATTTTCCCAATTTCTTTCCAAGAAATTAATACCTTGTCATGAAGTGATCAGTTTTCTGTATCACTCTATGGACTTTCTGACTTGGGAGTTTATCTGATCAGCTTGGCAGAAATAATGTAATAGCATTCTGTCTGTCTTGTCCTTAAAAGTTTCTCTGAAGTGCTTACATCTCCTGGTGTTGGAAAGCCCATTACGTTTTATGAAATAGTGGAAACAGGCTTTTTTGAATCCTGTAGAAACCCTGAAAAGCTGACTTTCCTTTCCCAGTGTGTTGGAAGTGACTCTCCTTTCCAACTTCAGTCTGTTGTTTGTTCTACAGATTGCATTAACTCATTTATAACTTCCATGCTTTAAGCTGAGAAAAGCATTTACAGGGTAATAAAGTATGAGATGGGTTTCACACTTACAAATAAGTCCAAACAATTAATACTTCTAGCTTATGGCTACATTCAATAAAAAAATAACAGTAACAGGTTGCTGAATTTTGACTGGCAGGGTGTCTGGCAAAATTAAGCTCATGTCCTTCAAAATGAATGAAATACCATATTAATGTAAAACAGTGGTAGCATTGAGTAAAAGCCTTTAACATGGTGGACTTCTGCTTACACGCTTTTAAATAATGGTCTAAATTGCTTGATTTCTATGCACCTTGGAATCTGTATTCCTTTTCCTCTGTACATGGGCTGACTGATGTGAACTACAAAACATGATTATTTCTCATTTGCATAAACATATGCATATTACAAATAGTATGTCCCTTCTGGAGGGAAAAGTGTAGGCTCACCTGGTATCTGCATGCTACCATATTCAGTATAGTCTTACTTCTGTGTTTGTCTTTTGCTGCAGATTCCTTGAATTATCTCTTGGATTCTCCTCACTCCCTCTTTCAGTTATGTATGTCTTATGTATGTCATGTATGTCTTATGGCCTCTGGAACACGAACTAGTCAAGGTTATTTGCTACAGCAAATGATAAGAAAGTTTGGTTACCCTTCTTGATCCTTTGTGTCCAGTAAGATCTGGCTGGCTATCCTGTAGCTCACTGAGAGTAAGAGTAACATTGGGATATCAAAAATGATTAAAAAGTCAGAACTCAACTGTAGCACAGCTTTGCCACTGTGGCATTTGAGTTAGGCAAACAGGACATTTAGGGTAGTAACAATCATGTAGATTAGCTCTGTGGAATATTAGTATCTTAGCATTTTATTTGACATCACTGGAACTGAAGCATTAATGTGCAGTCAGTCTTCATTACTGGGAGTTCACCAACTTGCTGGTTTCTTTTCCAAGAGGCAATTGGATTTTCAGGCCTTAGAAAAGGGATTTGATTTGGCTTCAGAGATTATCTAATCAGGAAGGTAAATAGAAACCTTTGGTTCTGTCTTAGGCTATATCCAATTGGCAAAGTTTTCCACCTTCAAAAATGTATTTTCTACACTGAACTTCCCACAGCCCCTTGAAAAGATTTAGTTATGCTCAAATCCATCTCTACCATTTACCTATTTTCAGTTGTCTTATTTTTGTAATTAAAAAAAACCCCAAAAACAAAAACAAAAAAAACAAACCAAAAAAACCACATTTTCAAAGTTACACTGGACAAATTCAACCAAACCATACATTGTTTAGGTTCTATACCTTTGTATATGTTTGCTGTGGAAATGATGCCACTGAGAATTTTCTCTCCCATTTACTCAGTGTAGTACCTCATCATCTGTAGTTACCAGTTAGAGACGTATACCCAGGTGAATTAGCAACCTGTTGCTTGAAATCCCCAAGGATACCCTGGATACAGGTGACTACTTTTAGTTGATCTGTGTCTTTCCAAGCAAGTCATCAAGCTTCTGGAAGTGAAAGAACTGTATGCATGCAGTTTCCTACACAGTTCATCCTCTAGGCACAACATGAAATTATGCCTGAGTAGGATTAAAATTTTGATCATGTGAACACCAGTAAGTGTTGATGCTTATGTGGTCATTCCTTCCTGGATTTTTCAGTCACCTTTTGTGATCACTTTCAGCCTTAAAATATGAGAGACCCTGTGGAAAAAGACTTTGCACAGGGATTGCTGCATATGGATTTTGCAAGGAAACTGACACTGGGAAATTATAGTGATTGAAAAAAACCTTCAAATTTGATGTAGATTTTGATTGCTGAATCCCACAGAAAACACAAATAGAGTCTGATTCCATTAATATATTATATTGTCAGTAGCACTGGTTCTATTGCTTTTTTGGCTTGCACACTTTTCAATTGCAAGAAAAAAATTGAAAATTACACATAGTCTTTTTAGTGAGGTAGTAAAAATAAATTAATTTTGAAGGTGCTGAATGATAGCTACCTAACATTTTAGAATTAAATTTTGCCACTGGAAAAAATATTTGCTCAGGCATCACTTGTTTGAATATGATGTTACATATTACTTAATTTCAATTCTTCCAGTAAAAGTAGTGAAAATATTTTCAGTCTGCATTAAGATACCAGTTTCATACTGCCCTTTCTCTCCTAGCTACAAATACATTAATAAAAATGTTTTTATCGTTTTTCAAGTTTAATTGGAAGTTAAACATTACTGTCTTTTTGGCAGGAGACTCAAAATTAGTTGTTTAATCAAGGAGTTTATAGACAAAATTTAATAGCTGACTTTTCTTTCCTAAAAAGAAAAGACTTTTCTCTGCCCCTAAGAGAGCAGTTAACACTGTGGGCAAAAATAGTAAAATTCACTGCTTTATTACAAATGCAAAGGGCTGTTAATGGTTTGAGGTTTCATGTTTAAAGGATGCAAGAAATAGGTCACTTTTAGAGGAGCAATGATTCTATTTAGCAACAGATGAGTCCTTTTTTGTTGCTTTCTCTAAAATTCGTTAGGAAATATAAGAGCACTGCTTGTAACAAGACAGCACTTTTCTTAAAG